AAAAAAAGAGAAACCTTTGTTAAATCAAATACTTAACTGAAGTAACAGGAAAAAAAAAAAAAAAAAAAAAAAAAAAAAAGGAAGAATTGAAATAGTAAATTGGACAGCTACATCAGCATTGTGTGTAAAATAATTTAATTTCTTCCAATGACTGGCAGTCGGAGTCTGGACTCACAACACAATGCTTTCCCAGTAAAGGACCTGCTGGGGCACAGCCCCCAATCACCTGGTCTGGCAGCTGTGGAGCCAACACAGYATCTGCTGGGAGTGCATGCATGTACATCCAGCCCTCTACATGTCTGGAAAACACAGTGGGTGGAATGGGCAGACTTGGGAGCAAGGGCGGTGTGAATGCAACCTGCATCTTTTGGGGTGTGTCCAGGGAATAGGAAAGCAAAAACTGATGAGAACAGGCACCGCCAGTTGTCTCACTTTCTCTGACCTTCATATTCACTCGCTTAATGTTAGCTGGTGTCATCGGGAAGGGTGAGTCAATAGTCACAATCAGAACCTAACAGGGGCCAGCTGTGATCCTGCAGGGCTTCCAGATGGAGCAGTTCCAGGTAATGGTCAAAAGAAGCAATGTAATCACTAGCTTGTTGCTAAGCTTGGGCATTTTCTTTCCTGTTCATGGCTTTTGATTAGTACTACTATGCCTGCTACGTAGCATGGAGATTCTTAAGAAACAGAGTCTTATCTTTTTGAAAAATAAAAATCTTTAATCCTGCATAGCTGATGTGATGAGGTGATTACTCAGATAATACAGTACCTTCCTGCCATCTTGTGACACTGCAGGTTTTGCAGCTCAACTTGTTATGCTCTATTCATTTTATTTCAAAGTTAATGGTTTTTGAGTTCCAGGTKTCATCTGGTTAAACAACAAACACACACACTGAGTGAAATCTTGGTCCTACTACTAACAGTGTCAAAACTCTCATTGATTTTAAAAAAATCCAGTTTATTAATTGTATTAATTTCAATGTCTTTTATAATATCAAAAATGAAAACCAATTGAAACTAAATAATGTGAAACTGGCTTTCAATTTAATAGATTAAATTACTCTTATATTGCAGTTATGTATGAAATAATACCTTTCATTTGTATTATGAATAAACYTCTATTTTTCATTTGAGATGTTTTCGTGGGTTTTCAAATAGCTGCTTCCTTCAAGTCTGCCTGAAGAAAAGGGAAGCTGCATCTTTTATATTACTTCAGGCAAGAGCCTGCAAGGGCTTGTTCAAAGTTCACTTATTTTTCTAAAATAAAGGAACATATGAGATTGTGCTGCTGTCTGATTTTCTGCTCCTGCTTTTAGGCTGGAATCACCAACTCGATCTTTGAGCATGGATGCACCACGAGGAATTAACATCAAAGCACAAGCTGGGAATATTGAAGCTCTTTCCCAGATGGATATCAAACTACACAGCAGTGATGGTGTGGTGAGTACAAGCCCTTCTTTTTTGTAACTATGGTTGATCTTTTGTGTGACTATAAATTCAAGCCTTTTTTTTCCATGTTCTGTTTATGTAACTCCTCAGGTTTTAGGATATTAAAATTAATAGTACAAATAATAAAACTTTTATTTACGTACATAATACTACCAGTAATACTACCATAATAGTACCAGTAAGACATAATATTGTATTAGCTTAGAGAAATGCTTTCTAATAAAACTTAGATAGCACTTAGCTCCCCACTAGCACAGTGATCCGCAGGCATCCCAGTGGGGAATCTTGGCCCAGAAGCAGCCCCAGAGTGGCAGAATTAAGGAGTGAAGCTCTGCAGCCATCATCAACAGCAGGCAGTATCCAGCAGCCTATTTATCCCCTCTGCAAGGCTGTACTGCCCCAGCTCTTCCACAGAGGAACTACAGACCAGCCCATGTCCATCCTTAGCCATCCTGGGCTCAACGGTGAGGCCTCAGCATTCAGGCCAGGACACACCTGGGTCCAGCAGCAGCACTCTTGGCTGCTATTCTGTGTGTGGGCAGGGACCCTGTCACTTACCTTAGAATCATRGAGKGAGTGAATTGTGCTGGAACARATCTTAAAGATCATCCAGGTCCAACTTCCCCTGCCATGGGCAAGGACACTTCCACCAGATCAGGTTACTGAGAGCTCAATCCAACCTGACCTTGAGCACTYTGAAGGATGGGTCATCCACAGTTTCTCTGGCAAACTGTTCCCGTGCCTCACCACTGGAAGAAGCTCTTTTTTATATCTTAATCCAAAATCTCTCTTCTTTCTATTTAAAACCAGTATCCCTGATAAAGARTCCCTTCCCAGATTTCTTGCAGACCCTCTTTAAGTGCTGGAAGGCTGCAGTAAGGTCTCCCCAGAGCCTTCTCTTCTCCAGGCTGAACAATCCCAGTTCTCTCAGCTTTTCCTCACAGAAGAGACGCTCCATCCTTCTGAGCATCTTCATGGCCCTCCTCTGGAGTCAYTCCAACAGGTCCATGTGCAGGGACCCCAGATCTGGATGCAGCACTGCAGGTGGGCTCTCACCAGAGCAGAGCAGAGGAGAGCAGAGGGGCAGAGTCCCCTCCCTGCCCTGCTGCCCACACTGCTCCTGTTCCAGCCCAGGATGTGATTGATTTTCTGGGAAGAACACATTGCTGGCTCATACATCATTTTTCATCTGTCAAAACCCCTACACCTTTCTCCTCAGGGCTTCTCTCAATCCATTCATCATCCTGCTTGTATCCATTTTTGGGATTGCCCCAGCACAGGTAGAGGACATTGTACTCAGTCTTGCTGAACTTCACCAGTTTTCTGTTAATGAAGAGGGTGGGCACCAGCTTATCCCTGTTTTGTGTTTATGTTTGCCAAGAYATTTTTAAGCCTCTGCCTAGCCAAATTGAACTTGTCTTGTGGAACATTATTGCTTTATCATCTCTAACGAGCCCCTTTGTCCCGCTTTTTCCCCCACAGCTTTTGCTCGATGCTGAAACTGTGCGCCTGCCTAAGTTGCCYGAGGGTGTGAGGGGTGGATCCGGGATTTCTCAGGGGCTCTATGAAATCTGCGTGTGTCCAGATGGAAAGCTCTACTTGTCAGTGGCCGGCGTGGGCTCCACTTGCCAGGAGTACAGCCGGGTGTGCCAGTGAGGCACCTGGAAAGGCCGCACACCCGCTTGCGCAGCAGAATTTGTATTACTGCTAAAGAGCATTGCCGAAAGCATAGTCTTCAGAATTTTAAAARCAAAGTACTCCAATTTAGGAAACGAATCAGCATCTACAGTTCTGGACTACAGGGTGTACGGGGAAGAAGAGCACAAATGATATTTCAGAAAAATGACTTGAATCAAATTACGTGTTTTGTCAGCAACACTTGGAAAACAGCCTTACAGAAAGCATAAAAATAATAAAACAAATATGTTTCCTTGCTGAACTATTATTCAGTCAGATGATTATGTCGTTGTTGATATTTTTGAGATCCGTGGGTTTTTTCTCTTACTACGTGTAAACACTTACTGTATTAGTGGGTGAAATTAAATTGAGGGAACTACTTGAATTATTTGTAAGACAAAGCATTACTTGGAGAATTCAGAAAGTGCCAGCAAATGGTCTATGCAATTTTGTTATTGCAATAACACAAGATAAAAAAATGCGGTATTTGTATAAGTTCTGTGTAAAAGGTCTTAATTTGCTAATTGTTTTCTATTTTAATTTGGCAACATATATGCTGGTTTGCTTATTACTGAGATTCATATAAAARTAACTAATGCAAAAAGCTCCAGAAGTCATTAAGCCCTCCCTGTCTCTTAAATCCATTCACTATACAACAGAGAAATATGTTAGTATATTTTATAATAGCAATTGTTTGTTTTACTGCCTGCATTCATTTAAATCCTTTTTTAATTTAGGACATGCTAATTCAACAAGGCAATCTGTTCTGCCAGCTGGACTAGTAAAAAGAAAAAAAAAATCTGTCTTCAGATTGTCTGACACAAGGAACTGTGTGGGGAGCTGGGAAAAAATCCTTTTATGCAGCCCACAGATTTCAATTAAGAGGAATATTTAATTTCCATCCACACATGTTGACTGGTATTTCTGATCMTGTCAGAGGGGGACTCCATCACAAACAGAGGATTAAAACTGCTCTTTATTATTTTTTACATTAGGACTTTGTATACAAAATAAATGCTCACCAGAGCTGACAAACAGTTTATTGGCCTTGTAAAGAAACATGACTGCAGACCTATTTTCCTGTACAGTGTTGCACTGAACACAAATAAATTGTTTGCAACACCTCTGGGTAGTAAGGTTTGTATTTAGTAGTYTGTCGCTTTAATCTCATGGGGTTGTAATTCCTTTGATGCTGTTTYGTATATACTTGATATTATCCAGGAAGGAGCTGCTATCACTTAGTGCCTTCATGTCTATTTACAGAAGGATTTTAACCCAGTTTTAGTAAACCACAGAATATCCATCTTTTGGGAATAAAAAATCATCATCAGGAAAATCAGAACAAAAGAATTACTAACTTTTTTTAAACTTGCTACTTCAGGTTTGGTGAACAAGGGAAGAAATCCAACACTCAGATGAGATCTCCGGTACACACARAACTCTACGCTGAGAAAGAGTCCCCAGGTAATGTTATTTGATAAAGCCCAGGGCAGTCCCTTTGCAATTTCTCCAAGAGTCTGACGTACAGAACTGGAACTGCCCTTCMGCAGCAGGGAGGAGCCCTCAGCAATGAATGCAAGCTGGAGGAGCTTGTAGGCAGTGCAAGYAGGAAACGCTTAAGGTGAATTGAAGGACTGAAGCAAGGTCTTATATTTTAACTGGAGAGTGCTCCAGTTGCTGTTATACTGCACTGCCTGTGGGAGAAACAGGAAGCCACACATCTTCCATATCTGAAATTCCCTTTTCTCGGGCTTGGATTCACTCCCTCCTGTCTCCAGGAATGAGTCCAAGGCTGTTGGTCATAAGGAAAGAAAAGTGTCTCTCCACAACTGTATCTCTTTACTATATTTGTCTTTACAACTAAACCCTCAGCTGAGGCACACTTTAAACAGAAACCTGTCTTCAGTATTCCTTTAAAATCAGTTTGGGTGGTTCCAACTCCTTGCCCAAGCTTCTACAGACCAAATTATGAGCAGACTTATCTTATTCATTGGACACAAATAGGAGCATTGAAATAAAGGTCAGCAAATACCTTTGCATGTGCGAGATATCTAAATACTGTTGCTACCAGTAACTTGGAGGACTGCAATGTCAACAGACTCCTATGGGTGTAGTATTAACAGCAAAACTGGGACTTGAGTCCTTAGAAATTTCAGCCATTGTTCTGCTATCAAGGACCATACGCCCACTTCCATGGGGTATCAAACTAATCATTCACCTAATGAATGAACTAATCATTCAACTAATCTAATCCCTAAACATTATCMAGATACTGCAAAATAGTTACAATCTGCTTGTTCTGCTGGCAACTGAAGCACAGCATTTTAAATTATACTAAAAATATATATATTATATATATATTAAGCTTTTGTTTGGGGGCACATTTTCAAATGTGATCTGCCAATTCAGAGCAAGGGATGAACTGAGGCTTTCCAGGCAAGAACAACCTGACCCCTAAAGAGCTAGGAAAATCACGGTGTAGTCCCCTGGCTGGTAACACTACTAAGCATTATGGCACCTCATTCAGACACTGCAATAACTACCACCTTTCTTGTGGAGATAAACCTTCTGGACTTGCTTCAGTTCACAGGTAGATTCTGAGTAGCACCAAAAACTAAAGATCTGCTGTACCTTCAGCACTGACATCATCCGAATCACCAACATGACCCTTTTCATTGCTTAAATTTCATTATTCTTTTCATTGTGCTATAACATTGACATCAGAAGTATTGTTGCGGTTGTGCACTGTTCTTAAAGCAACATCTTGTCACTGAGTATTTTCTTCTTTTAGATGTGGTTAGTAGAGAAACAAAATTTATGTTAAATTCACCAGAGTAATCAGCTGATACTACAATCAAATTGCTGGTAATCTCAATACAGTTTATACATCACTAAATTATCATTTCTGATATCTCCATGTCTTTCCCTCTCTCTTTAGTACTTCAAAATTACTGTTTCTACTTGAATCAAATTTCAGTAAACAGTTACAGATTAACAGAAAATTATGGCACAGGGAAGTGAGAATATGCAGTTCTCTAGTTTATTTCCAAAAGTATTATCCAAATGGAAAAGAGAAAAAAATCACTACCAGCATAGTGAACTGATTTGTTTGCATATTTACTCCCTCAAGAAGAATTATTTACAGCAGTTCTTGTAACTGGTTATAATTGTTACACGGTGGAAAAAGGATCATAAAACTTCACTGGTGATTGCCCAAACATGACACTTTTTGTTTCCATTTCACAATCATGTGGTATTTACATTTGTCTATCTTTATAYAGCTTTATGCAAAAGGAAATTGCAAGAATTGGAAACTGAGTTCATGAATAAACTTTATACATTTTGAAAAGTCTGCTTCTCCTTTTGTATTCAAATGAAACACAGCTTAAATCAATGTTTTCATTTTCAAAACAAAATTATTTTCTCAAGAATAAGAATGTAAAATGTATGTTATTTAAAAATATGAACAAAAATCTTAGTCCCAACTAAAAAGGTACTTCGCAGAATTTAGAAAATGCTTTACAATTAATTTTCAGTGGACATCTCTCATTCCTTTGTCTTAATCAGTAGTAGGTCAAAGTAAACAAAGAAATTACGCCAGCGCTACTGAATTAATCATCCAGAAAACAAACCAAAGAAAAGATAAACAGTTTTGATTAAAAATTCTTGGATATATCCCTTCATGTGATAAAATGTGTGTCTTTTTCAAATGAAAAGACTTACTTCGGTTGCCAAGTTTAATTATTTTTGGACTATTAGTTCAAACTACTAGTTTGAACTAATTATTTTTCAACTATTAGTTGTGGAACTATTTGTTCCACAAGACCAATCCAGCCTTTCTCAAAGTAGTTAGATCCAGCAACAGAAAATCTCATAGGTGGTACTAACCTCCTCTACTTTAGCTGAGAAATTAGAATAATTACAGCCTTGTTTAAAGCAATCCAAGTATACTAGTACCAAGTGAATGCAATCATTATAGTAAGTTTTAAATCCTATTTCACAAATCATTACAGTATCTTTACTGATAATGATCTGAGTACAAATATTGCAAAGCTACATTTTTTATACAACAAAACATTTATTTTTCTTGTAGTCAGCTACACAAAAATATTTCCTTGACAAAAAACAAAAACAAAACAAACCCCAAACAAACAAACAAATAAGGTATTTTTCTTGTCACTAATTACTGAGGCAAGTGTCCAGTGCTTTTTAGAATAGCTGTATATGTCAYTGTTTGAGAGGAAAGCTTTTAAAGCACAAGAAGATAGTAGCCTATCAAGGCTTACTCCAGCTGCACTTCCTTAGCTGCCCAATGTCTACTTAAATAAGTTTCCTATACCACTGACTTTTTGTTAAAACTCCTCAATTTTAATCTTGGGAGACAAAGCTACTGAAGCTGCATTTCCTAGATAACTGCTGGAACCTGTGGAAGCAGGAGATAATATATTTAAATGTATTTTTCTGGAACCTACATGCTAACATTTACTTCTACAGACCCTTACTATAGAATCATCATATCCTAGCTATTCTAAGCTTCCATACCTGACTTAGACACATTTCCAAGTCTCCCAGCTAAGCCAAAAGAATCAATTAAGCATTTATTTATTTTTATTTTTAATCAGGAATTAAATGGCACTTACAAAACCATGTTCTATCAGAATATGGTTTCCTGGTCTCATAGTCTCTTTATTTAGGCTAGCTGTTACAGTGAGTTAAGCAAATAAGAAATTATGACACTTCCAACTGAGACACTACTCTTGCATGTATCTCTGAAGCTATATATAAATTTTGTGCATTTAAATACAAGAATAATAGAATAAATTAGTTTTTCTGTGTCATTCAAGTTTTCTTTCTCAGCTTGGTTCAGTATTTAACATTGCTTCAGACCATTAGCTTCCTAAGAACTGGAATCATTTTCTTTCTCAAAGTGTCAGTGCTCAACAATATATACATAATAAACAAAAATTATAACACAATAGTTTAGTAGTTCTGCACAGCCATTTTRACAGTTCATAATAATAATACTGGTGAGGCAATATAAGTTGCTTATGAAACACAGTTATACACTTAAAAGATTTTCTTCCTCAAGAACTCACTTAAAAACAGGAAAGTGTTCACAGTGCTCCTGTTACACTTTTGCATGCTGCCATGATATCTTATGTTTTAGCTCCATTTAAAATGAAAAGCATGAGAACTGTTTCCYTTTCAAGTATTTTGCTTACCCTGAATACTATTCATCTGACTTAAAAGAAAAAGCAAGAATCACAAAGGCATCTATTTCAAAAACATGGGGAAATAACTAAACTGATTTATTTCATGGCACACCAGGATTTGTGTTTTACTTACATGCTATTTATTGCAAAAAATCAGCAAATGTACAATTTCTTCGAGAAAACTGCAAACATTTGTCATTGCAAGAAAATAAGCATGTTTCCTTTCCAATAGTATTTTAATATTTGTACAATAATTTAGAATTAATTGAAAAAAGACTATGTATTTACTTACATGAAAGCTTCAAATAATAGCTAAAGTTAGCCTACATTGTAAAACCAAAACACATCCCAGTGAAATATATGTTTGCATTTTTCTTTATCAAAATTATGGCACTTTATTTAATAGCAGAAATAATAATAGGGCTTCACAATCAGAAGCAGTATCATTTTTCAAATGTCACATTTTTTCAAGAACAAGGYCTTTATAATTTACTGAAAAATGAAGCAGACCTCCTAGTGATTTTTTATTTTTGTATTACAACACTATCACAGTTGTATCAGCCCTGCAAGCTTGGTGTTGTATATTTTCCTTTGTATT